CTTAAACGCCGATCCTTACACTGTTCCTGAGGCTGCTGGTCGCATTAAATACCATGTGAATGTCTTACAGGAGACAAAGCGTAGGGAGACTGACTTACGCCATTTGGACAAGACTCCTGTCATTCATAGTGGCATACTTCTCAAAAAGTTTTGATAGACCTTATCGTACATCTACGTTTCCTATCAGTCCACTTCATACGAGATCCTACTACTTTGCCTAGCCATCCTTCATCTCCAACTTGCTCGACGAAAAAATGTATTTATCAACTGCTATTCATCTACCTCTGCAGCATCTGAGAGCGAAGTAAGCGCGTTCTACAACCAACTAGAGAAAGAAACTCGCAACAAGTAGTCCTTCTATAGATTCGTTGCTGTGTACTCCAATGCTCAATTAGGAAAAGCTAACGAAAAATGAATACAGGATAGGAAAATTTGGAATAAGAGGCCAAAACAATGATGGATATCATTTTGCAGGACTCCTATTCGCAGCACGTCTCTTTCATAAGGATGTGTTTTTCGAAAAGAGAGAAAGCTGCGACTGGGCATGAAAGTTTTCTAACGGCGTAACTCACACAGAGTTTCGCGCAAGTTTTAAATCCTTGGACAGGCAGCTTAGCTTCTAGCATTCCTTATGATCTTTCTTTATTTGCCAATCATATGAGGGAAAGCTTTCATCGAGAATATCTTCGTTGTACACTACTTATCTTGCTTTTCTGCGAGAATGACAGGAGTTCTTTCCAGCTCATAGCTTAATCATATCTTTGTGTTGACACGGCAATGAAGAGATTCACTACTGAGTGGTAGCTTTGGTTGGCAATCTACGAAGAACTAAGTCTTGTATAGCGGAGGACCACCGAATGGCGTTACTTCATTCGTACACTGCTCCACCCCACTCGATTCGAATAGGTGCGATTACGAAGAGCTACAGTGTCACAACGACCGGCTTTGGATAAACGATCCAGATAAACGCAGCTCCGAAGAAGGTGAAAGCACAGAAACAGGATTCACGTTAAGGATTCGTACGTAATAGGGCAGTTTAAAGGCGAATATATGTGGACTAGACTGCAATGGCTTTCATGCGAAGTAATATGGTTCAATCAGGTTTTAGATATATTGGTTCAAAGTTAACTTTTCATAACCCCACGCAGTGATTTCGATGTGTAGGTTGCTGTAGGTTTCGGTTCGTACATCTTGACTTCAATGCGCACGCTGTTTTCGGCGTACACTTATAAAGTCTCATTCGTCAGTGAGTAAATTCAACTTTGGGGAAAAAAAACGTTTGCAACTCTTATTATACAACTTTGTAGCTGGTGTTGTAGTTGTTTAACTCAAAAACATTTATATTACAATGCACTTCTGGAGAGAACTTAAACGGAGGTATTTGTAGCACGTGGCAGGAGCAAGCGTAGATAAAGTGCTCATCCAACTGTGTGTGGAATACATCTTTGGCGAAAATGAGCACTAATAACTCATATCCTCGCGATTATGCTGTAAAAATTCACTCAACAACGTTTTTTAATATGCCCTAGCGGTGGAGATGGTGACTACATGAGGAAGTAGAAGCTGCCATCCTCGCGCAGAAATCTAAAACTTCAACGCGCAAAGCCCTTCAAGTGTTCTGGATAAATTCCAGGGTTCTAAAAATGAACCATAGGGCAGGCTGCCTCGTTCTCACCTATGGTCTCACATAGTTCTTGACCAAGGACTTTTCTGCTGAGGTTATGGAAGTGCTTGGCTGACCAGATTGCGGTCAACTTGACCTTACCCTTTTCACGACGGCAGCCATTTTCGCTTGATGGGCTCTAGTGTCGAGCGCAATTGATATGCGCATTGCAATCAAAATGTACTGCCGAAACGTACAGCAGAGTACGTATTGAAGCTAGCGCGCATAGTCGTGAAAGAATTAATAGGAAATCGGTCCTGAGGATTTATACTTCATAGTTTACTGGCAACTGCTACCAAATTAGTTGACGAACTTGTGCAATCAGGTTCGTTTCCTTTCAAAGGATAGCAGTTTCGTTACCATACCCGCGCTAAATAGCCTGAAGCAATGCTTTCACGTTTTGTTGAAAGAGAGGTCAGTAAGATGAGCTTATGGTGGTTTTCTAACAAAGAACTCTATATTATCATAGCAACTTCGTTTTTCGTCTAGAAAGTGTTCGCTAATTCATTGCTATTCCTAATCCTGTCTATCACATGTGATGTCCATACGATGGAATCCTATAATGTTTGCTAATATAAACACATTCACATTTCGTTAGGATTTGCCGTGAACTTCTAAGTGATCGAATTCTTCTCTTCCAATCTTTTTTCATTGTCATTTCACATGCATTTTCAGATGCAAGCGTACGTAGAGAGAGTATATCCACTTGTGTACACCTGAGTTACAAGCATTGCTGCCTACATCAACCATTCATCCGTTATCCATTCGCGCATACACACATATACATGTGTTTCTGGAATTCTGAGCCACTTGTCGTACATTGTTTTTTTGGAGTGGTCGTTCTTAACATATCATTACAAAGCACTCTTCAGAGAAATGAATAGCAGCTAACTGCGATAGATCTCTACAGAGAACAGGCTTGAAGTGTTATTCATAAAAAGGTTAAAGCTCTCGGCGTTGATCAATCCCTGAGGCATGCGCCATGTATTCGACTTCACTAAGTATCGTTGGAGGTGATTGAATGCATACCTGGCCTTTACAATGACTCACGGTGGCCTACCGATGTATCGAGCCGGTGCTGCTATCCTCCCACACAATTCTGGTACCAATTTTCCGACCCCGGAGGGATGGAGGGCTTGGTCAGCCATGGGCGCGGAGATCAATTCCACGCGTGTCGCGCCTTCAACCACTACGCCACATCGGCCCCTGTTATTCACATGGTTTGTCATTTTCCACCTGGGTTAGAACCAATAATTTTGGCCATTTTCTTCCACTAATTAGGGCCATGCTGTTCTTTGTGAAAACTGCTAGTGAGTCTAAGCTTATATCTAGTGTTTCTCGCACACTTTAGTTCATTCCTATGCAACAGTTCCTATTGCCAGTACTGACGTAACAATCTCGTTGAATGATTTCAAACCCTTGCAGTTAGCTGTTGACCAAGGCTATTCTTCTTATAGTAGTAGAAAACAGTTCTTGCATTTCTGACGTATTCTGGGCTTTGGAGAATAGAAGAATGTCGTGAATTAAGTGATGGGAAAGTATAGGAATGACAATTCGTAGTAGTGCGTCACAAGTAAGCTTCATTTCTTCACCTGGTGATCACAAACTAGAACATCTACGTGGATATTCGCGTATTAGTGATCGATTGATCCAATTCTAATTCGCAGAGTATGTATATTTTCTGTTTACATGACCGGACTTCGTGTTTGTATTATGTGAATCCCAGCGCTCCTTCCATTCCATTTATTTCTTTATATCCTTCACCTACGAAGGTGTTCTTGTTTTCCATGTGAGTGTTCAACTCCTACTTGAGGATTTTATCTTCGTCATGAATGTCGTTGCACGCTCGTTGAGCTGGAATCACGGAGCAACTTCTGTTTTCAATAGTTTAAAATAGAAGCAGAGCACTACGTGCAAAGTACCATTCAGTTCCCATACAGTAGATATTTTTAAGACTGAGACAGAAGACAGACCAGGTACGGGAACACCTCCGCCAACCGAATGCGTACAAACCATTTAGTGTTTCGCTTCATACGCTGATGACCCCCTGAAGCGTGAGCAAGAACACACCAGCACAAGAAATAGCTAAATCTAAATCTAACGCAGTGGCTATAGACCATTCCTTCGCTCCGCAACCTCTTCTACGACCTTTTGAAGGGTGAGCAAGAACACACAAGCATAAGATATCGCTACATCTACGTCAAGCGAATGTCTACAAACCAGTTAGACTTCCGTCTCACACGCTGTCTTACGGTCTTCCGAAGGGTGAGCAATAACGCACCAGCACGAGATAAGGCTACGTCTACGTCCAGCAAACATCTATGAACCAGTTCGTCTTCCACTTCACACGCTCTCTTACGACGTTCTGAATGGTAAACAAGAACACACCAGCACAAGATCTCGCTACATCTACATCTATTGCCGTGGCTACGCACCATTTTTTCGCTCCGCAACCCCTTTGTGACCTTCCGAAGGGTAAGCAAGAACACACCAGCACAGGATAAGGCCATATCTACGTCTGGCTCGGTGGCTACGAACGAGTCTTCCTTTTCCATCCCTCATATGCGTGCGACCCGCTGTGCCGCATTACTTTACGTGACACTAGATGATGAATGGTTACGCGCCAAAGAAATCTCTGCCAACACGTGAACAGAGCGCGCTTTCCTCCACATCGATATCGTTTTAGTGTGTGGGTCACGTTCCTATTCCAGCAGCTGATTCCACTGCACGTATCAGAATGTGGTGAGAAATAATGGCTATAAATGCGAGAAGAAATATAACCCATCTCTTCTTTTCAATATTATCTAGCATTGCTCGAATTCCAACTCATACAGTTCGAAACATGTCCAAACATGATCACATCAATGCATTATAGCTATAAGGAGCACCATCGTTTTCCCGCTTACTTCTTCTCTGTTCCTTTTGCAATTTTTCCTTCGCTTTACGTAGCCGTTTCACTGAGTTAACTTTGATCGTGCCTTTAGTGTGGTGATTTTACGAGATATCTAAGTCACATGGAGATTTTTTGTAGTCACGCCACCATACCGAGAAACTAAAACGTTTTCTGAAAGGAAAACTAAAATAAAGGCGAAACGAAGGATCGCGTGGTATGGCGGTGAATAGTTTAGCCCCCGGAAGGGGTAATAGCATGTTCGGTCCTCATCGCAAACACCAGCGGTCCGGAGTTTCGCAATTATCTCAGCATAATTACGGGTGAAATGTTTTCCTTTTAACAGAGGTTCTTATGACGAAGCTCTTCATCGAAGACATGCTCGGCGTTTTACCTTTGAAGTTGGATGTATGTGTATTAATTGATTCCTTTTTGAATTTCAGCCGCATGTTGGACCCTTCACCACGAAGTCCGGATCGCTTGATCACGAGCCGATCACTAGGAATTATTCTACTATTATTGGTAAACGTCTTATGGGTGCTAACTTCGGAGTTAACAAGGGTTTGTGTTCATCATCCGAATTTTGTCGTAATTTTCTTCCCTTCCTGTACGCAATTAAAATAGAATTTTTGAAGCAACAGCTCACTCAGATTTTCTTTATGATACAGCTGTTCATCACTTTACTTAATATGTTTCTTCCAGTATGTATTCGTTGATGAAGGGTTCAGGCGACCGTTCTTCACAGCATATGTAAAGACATGTATGCTCACTGTATATATGGTGCGGTATTTGGCATGTGAACGGGTTCAAGAGGTCTGTTTCTTTCAAAAACGGCTCCCTTTTAGCTTTAAAATCTTGGTCGGGATTGGTATCCCACATAGACCGTTGCTATCCCACAGTTGTTGGTTCTCTCATCGAGTCTCAAAAGTGTGGCACTACAGTAGGGAAATATTCATAATGGAATTTGGGGTCTGGAAACATCATTGTTTCTGATCATTGTTGCTAAACTTCTGGGATAATGAGGTGGCTTTCTTTTCGAACCCCAAGGGACTGTTCTTGGTTAGCAGAGTTTCTTTGTATGTTACTTCGCACGTAATATAGAAATCCTTAACCGTCTTACTTTCTTCCTAGGTGAATATCTCTGACTATGGGAAACCTTCAGTGTTATTCCACTTTGTATTTATTGGTAGAGTTCATGTACGCGTTCCTTTTTCTGCGATTGCTATTATTGAGTAGTGAAGTATAACCCTAATGAACCCTAAAACATAAATAGCCATAAAACAAAGGAATCGCATGTTGTGGTAGTGAACGCTTCAGACCCTGGAAAGGGTAATAGCGTGTTCGGTCCCACCGCATATACCAGTGACCTGGAGTTTTGCCAATATCTCAGCATCATAATGGCTATATTTCACATATTACCCTGCCATTAAAAAAAAGGATGCTTTAAGTAAAGAGTAACGGCATTAATGAGTAATGTTTTGAGTAAAGTGTATAGTTGCTTTTTCCTTAAGTTTATGATTTGGCTTTTCTATCGAAACACTTTTGAAGCATGTGGGGTGTTTTACCTAGCCATTCATTCAGTTTAAATCCGCATGGAATAGTTGTTCTCGGTGGAATTTGTAGTTTCCCTTTTACTTTGCTTACGTGCTTCATCAGCTCTTTCATTCTTAGAGAATAACCAACTCATGTGCAAACTAATATGAGCAGCTGTATGGATGGTTTTGTTTCAAAAGTGTTACTGCCGTTTTGCTTTAATTCTGCTATTGGGCCATCTTTTTTATTCTACCTGTTCTAATTCCTCATGTAGTTTCATCACATCCTTCTTTGTCGTAGTTCGTTTTTCCGCATTAGAAAAAGTATTCAGCCTTACAAGTCTTACAGTATATGCTACTCGGTCAATATTATTTTTCGAGACTGTTTTCCTTTTCCATGATGAGTTAAGTGTTTGACCTTTTGTCATAATATGTATATTAAGTTTTTTTTTGTATTTTTGCTTTATAACTATACAGGTCTATTATAGTCTGCGCGAGAAATTTGTTTTCATATAAAGGATAGATCTTTCGACGCTGATCAACCTCTTAGAGGTGCTCCATGTTTTCAACTCCATTGAGGACCGTAGAGGTGTTCATGAATATTTGGTCTGTACAATAATTTGTGGAAACATACCAATGTATGGAGTCAGTGTTTTTATCCTGTTATACTTTCCTATTATTAGTTCGCCTACCCTGGAGGATTTGGGGGCTGGGTTGACCTGGAGCGCAGGATGGAACCTTCAATCGTGTGTGCGGTAGCAACCTGACTACTACCACGTTACTCTCGCCATAGTGGGGCCATATTGTATCGGGAACTCATTATCGTAAAAATTTACGTCATCTAACTGTCACGTGATAGGAATCGCTTCATGCAGTCCTCGTTCAGTGAATGTTTTAGCATGTGTACAAAGTCCTCGAAAATGACGTCTCTGACTGCGAGTCGATGATTGACATCGGTCACCACAGTTTGGTGAGTTTGTTGCTCGCCCACGCTTATCCTTCACCTTATGTCGTGCATTGCCTTCTGTTGTCTTTGTGAGCCCTTCTGTTAAAGTTTGAGTTTATAAGAATGTTGCATTCTGTGTTACACATTGGTATGTAGTTAAAGATAGTAAATCTGTTCGCATGCAAAAAAAAACTTGATTTCCAGGTTAATATAGAAAGCATTTTAAATCTCTTATGCGCGGATAAGTTTTACAATGATTTGTTCATTAGATTATGCATGGATTTCGCATGCTGAATCCCTCATCGCATAGTATTAGTCATAATCGGTTGTATTCAATTTGTTCCGTTGTCCAACTTTACGGCCTGACCGTAGTTATCCCATTGTCCAACTTTCTAATAATGACGTTCATTTAATCTGTACTTGATATGCCAGTCGCAGCTTTGGCTCATTCGCGACGGTGCGGTTGTTTCGATTAAAAAACCTCTCGGCGTTGATCAATCTCTGAGGGATGCGCCATGTATTCAACTTTATTAAGCATCGCTGAAGGTGACTGAATGGATATCTGGTCTTTACAATAATGTACGGTGACCTACCGAGGTATCAAACCAGTGCTGCTATCCGCCCAGACAAGTCGGATACCAATTTCTCAACCTAGGAGGCATGGATGGATTGGTGAGCCTTGGGCGCGGCGATCGATCCCATGTGTATTGCAGGGAACCTCCGACCGTTATGGTCCAGCGCCTTTGTATTTCAGTAATCGACGATATTTTCTCTCTTGTTGGAGTGCATGAAAAGTGATACGTTTTAGATTTATGGGAAGGAATTTTATCTATCACCTTGTACGTGTGTATAATTTTTGCAAAGATTTTGCTTCAGCTTTGAATTCGTTTGGGAGTAAATTTCTGGAAGCCTTTGAAACGAATGCTGTCATGTCTTTTTAGCCTTCATCCAAGTGCTGATGAAAGAAGACGAAAAGTAATGTTTCCTAGGTTCTAGAAAATAAAAGTGGTTAGTGAAAATCTATAGATTCTGTTGGTTTTGTCATATGTTCAGTAGAATTTGAGACGTGTAGGTTTAAAGTTGAGAAGGACCGTTTTTGAAAGCGCATGTATTGGAAACAACGCATACGCTCGCGAATGAACTAAATGTTGCCATCTTCTTTCACTTGCATTTCGGTCCCAATGATTTCATTTTTGGATGCCGTCGATGTCACAGACTAAATCTGATTTAGAGCCTGGAAGGATACGAAACAATGACGTCGGATTCGGAGTACGATCTCATTCAAACTGGTGTCAATCGAACCGTTCGTTTCGCCGAACATCGCGAAGTTAGCGTATGCTTCTTTTGTTGTCAGTATCTGCATTTTTGCCTTTCGATTCCGAAACTTTAGGCCGTTGCAAAAGTTTGAATTTCAGAAAACAGTTGTTCTTTATGTTTAGGTGCGGCGTATGCCGGAAGTAGAAGCAAGTGAGGCTAGGCTAGCTCGGCAACCGTATTCGCCTCCATTATTTGTGTGTCCATTCTCTTTTAACATACCAAGTCATGTACGACAAACTGTGTTTTTCTTCGCACCAATGGTGAGTTTCAATGTTTCCAACTTTGGTTATGAGTGCTTTTCGGGCCAAATATGTAGTTCGTAAAGTTGCTCTTTCTTCATTTAGTTAGCGGGTGCTATATTTTAGGCAGCAGAAGTATATCGAAAGTTCCTTTTTTGGAAAAAAAAGGAGCGGATTTTTTCAGAAGCCTTAAAAATCAGCAATTATTGTGAGCTCGTTGATGAAGGCACAAACAAATCTCCTTGTTGGCCGCATAAATAACGGTGGAAAGAAACTATAGATCGTAAATCTTATGTAGCCTCCCAACGGTTTACCGCCTCATCATACCTGGAAGGTGTTCCTGGGTTTAGAGGTGCGATGTGCAGCTAGAGATTCATCACTCCAGCTCCGTCTTCTAAAGACAAGAAGGAGTGCGGCGTTTCCACCAAGAAAGCCAGTTGAGAATAAACCAATACCAGGAGCCACCAGTGTCCTGGTATAAAACTAGCCACATGGTGGCAAATCTCCTTATCCACAAGGGCGGCGACTGCCTATGGTGGTGACCACCTGCTGCACACTTTGGCCAGACTGGCCTCGGGGCACCAGGGAACCACAGCGGCAAAGCCAGCAAAACTCCGAGAGGATGGGAATTACGGTGGCGCCCGCACAACCACTGAAGACAAGCTATCCAGGTATCCTATTCTTATGTAGAGAGTTGATGCATTGTTTTGTTAAGTCCACTAAGAGTAACAATGTGGTAGTGTTCAACAATTATTTTACAAATGGATATCACATTATGAAAGAAAAACGAAAGCAATTGAACATTAAATCGTTAATTGTTGGATTAGTGGTACATTTCCACATTTCCATTTCGTGTTACTGAGTACTTTTTTAAACACGAGAAAGTACATCTGTACCTCCTGCAGTTGATTTTGCCTTTTTAGGGTCATGGGTAACACAAGAAGGTAAAGAGTCCTTTTATAAAAGGATTTTCTTTATACTGTGTTTTGATGCGTCTGGAAACCTATAGAGGTTAGGTTATGCTAGTTGACGTCTTTATGGTGTCATGGATACTTGGATGGTCCATCTTCACTGGTTGTGCAGACCCCAGCGTAACTTTCCTTTTTGCTGATTTAGTTGCTCTCATGGTTCCCTCTTTGAAGTCTCGAGGTCAGTCTGGCCAAGGTCTGCACCAGGTGTCATGGAACTTACTAAATTTGGAAAGTAGAATCATTACACTAAATTTGTCAGGTATTGTTTATGTTTTAGTGGCTTCTTTGTACGTTCACATATCAAGCGGCTTTGATGTTTACTTCGGTTTCTGCCCTGAACATGATCTCATCATCATCACCTTTATTTGTACTAGTATTTTCAATTTGTTTTCCATCATCCGAGTCAAAATTTACACTTTTGAAGGTGCGCTTTCTATGCAAAGGTCCCATTTCTTTTCTTTTCTTTTCTTCATGTATACTTCGTCATTTATACTTTTCTTGAAGGCATTCTTCGTCGCCATGAATTTTGGAGGCGTACTTATTGTATCGGAGTTTTCTTCTTCACTCACAGGATCACTGTTCGCTCAGGTAGATGAATACTGTTCTTGTATTTGTTCTTATTTACAAAACAATTCCAATTGTTATCCATAATTTCTTTTCAGATATCTGCCGTGTCGTATGCATTATACATAACCTTATATACTCGTTATCAGGAAAGGAGTGGTGACATAAGCATTAATCTCATGTTTGGTAAGTGATTCTAAACTGAAGTGAAGAAAAACCGTTCTTAGTATGAGAAAGACTAACATCGCTTGTGTTCGTGTACTCATATCATATTTCGCTGGAGTTGTTTTATTTATTGTCACTTCCCCAAAATGGCAGACTGCAATTTGATACTATCGGTATGGTCACCTAGGCTAAGGACTTCGATGCTTCCATTTGAAAGCCAAACTATGAGTAAACCTATAAACCTATAACCTATTGGAGTATAGAGCGGTATCATTGATAATAGGGTCGCCGAAAATATTGAAAAGGGGTTTAATGCCAGATATGGTGCTCTTTGCCCCCCCCCCCCCCCCCCCCCTCGACAAAGAAGAGCTTGCTGGAGCCGGGAGGATAAAAACATTCAGTCACCTATACTACGCTTGATGAAGTTGATGGCATGACCCATTCCTCAGAGATTTGAGGAAAGGCTTTGCGATTTTATTGCTGTTTGGGCCTGTAGTATTGTTGTCAATCTCCCGGTCCACTAACCACAATTTTCACTACTGCCGTGAAAAAAATTTGTTGCAAGGTGACATCCCTTCCTGCAGAATGCCTCTAAAAAGAATGGAAGTCCATTTTGAATAAGTGATGTGCCAGTACCATCGTAAATTGGAATTTTTCTATTTCTTATACCAAGTTTTTGAAAGATATCGTTATCAAAAGCATTCATAAAGGATGCATCATCTACTATGAATGCTGAGAGTTTGAAAGTCACCTTGCTTTTTGACAGTTTAAAAAACTGGCTTCAGAAACTTTCGAGCCAATTCAGCAGTGTAGCAGCATTGGCAGCTAACAACAACCAGCGGTCGTTTGAGAGTTAGATTTTTTTTGTTTTTTATTGCATGATTCGATTTTATCACACTGCTGTTCTCAGCGCTTGCATTCGATTCATTTCCTTGTTTCAATCATCCACGAAGGTCTTCCAACCTTTCTGCATGTGGTTTCGGGTGCTGCTCTTCACCTTTGTTACTAGTACCGTGTATTACCGGTCGAGTCAATTCTCCCTGGACTCCTAGGATAGCCGAACTAGAACATCCCACTTGAATTGGAGAGTATGAACTTTCGTAGACAAAACTGGTACCAATCTTTCGAACCTCGGAGTTATAAAGATTTGGTGGCGGCTCGAACTGGTGCCAGAGTAAGTCGGATAGCCTGAGTGATGAATGGGGTTACTAGCACTGCGCAACCTGTTCCCGGTGTGAGTGGAATAGTACTCTGCAGGAATGGATACAACTAGATCTTAAGAAGACAGGAACAGCTGTAAAGGCGTCGTCTGGTACACCGAAGATCCGTCATTTGTATGATACAGTTAGCTCGTTCTATAAGGCTGTCTAATAGTTATGTTTTTAGCTACTCTGGTTACCAGTGTCGCTATAGCGAAACATGCTGAATTGTTACTACTGTCTGGTTACGTACTGCCAGCAAGCCTGAGCAACTTTTCTAATCTTTGGTGCTTCATATTTAGTTGTTCATTAGCCTGTGGTTTTCTAGAAACGAGGCATTTTGGCGCTTTTAGTCTTTGCGACTTTAAATTAGTGTTTAGAGTTAGGATATATTTTGTGCTTTTTATTTTTGTAACTGTTAAGTGAACAAGGTAAGCTTGTTTTGTTTTCTATTTCTTTCATCGAGAAATGGGATAAATTTGAAGTGGTAAGTGAAGTTTTGATATCTGGCAAAAAATGGGCTTAGTAGTTTCTTAGAGCGAGAGTATTGGGGATTCTGTCCATTTCATAACACTTTGTTCGAAAGGTTCAAAAAAACGGACTAGTTGTGTATAGAATCTGGTTTCACTAACGTGTTCCAGTAGTGATTGTCAAAGGTGGTCGGTGGTTCCAAACTCATCTGTCTTCAGAGGTCTCATGCCCATTAAAAATTTTCGAAGCCTCTAACGGCTTCATGGGCAAAGTTCGTTGCTTTTCCGACTAATTTGATTTGCTAACAAGAAATGGCTATAATTTGCTTTTCTTAAGTTTTATTACGGTGGTTTATTTTGATCGAAAATCAAAGTAACATAAAGAACTTGAACGTAGAGGGACGTGGCGAAATCTACACTTTAAAAGTTATTTAGTATAATGGCACATGCTTAGACCTTTATTCTAAACTATTCTTAAATTTTGAAAATACAATCCGAGATTATCTTTCACATAAGCTAATAGCATTGTATTTTTGAAGAAACTGTCATAGAAAATGAACTTGGTGCGTGGGTAAGAAATGATTCATGAACTTCCTTTATAGAGGGTTAGTTTTTCTTACTGTTGGAATCATTCACTCATACTCATTGATTTCCTCGCTTTCGAATTTATAGATTTTTCACCATTTGCTCAAGTAAACGAGTACTCTGCATACGTTTCATCATGTTGTTCCAGTTTTTCTGTTCCAAACGCGACATAGTATTCGGTTTCGTGTTGCTTTTAATAACTCTGGTCCTTGTGCATTTTTTAACATGGGTATTTCTAATACGGTTTGATTTTTGTCGTTATTAGCGAATGTTTCCTAAACAATGAACAAGTAGTCGCGTACATTTTTATTCTCGCGTTTTCCCATATACTTCATTCGATTGTGTTCGTTGCTGGCGTAAACACCACCTATGATTTGACGAGCATCACCATATTCTGCCAGATGAAATTCTTTTTGTTCGATCGCTTGGGTGTCTGAAATAGGTGTATGAACGAAGGCAAAATTAAAAAGCATGTTTCGTGGCCTGCAGAAAGTCAGAATTTATTATTAAAATAGAAGAAAATGTGTCTTTTCGAAAATGTTCTCTATAAAAGCATAAAGATGTCGGCATTGATCAATCCCTGAGAAATGCTCCGTGCATTCGAATTGATCAAGCAACCTGTGGCTGAGGTGATTTAGTGCATAACAGGCCTATACAGTAACTCGCGGAGGCTCCCTGATGTACCAAGCAGGGCTACTGTCCTCCCAAACAGTTCTAGCATTTACAGATCCCGGAAAGATGAAAAGCCTGTGGCGTGGAATCAAACCGTGTGTATGAAGGTCACCTTTAACCACTACGCTACATGCGCGCAGTGTTCGCTGCATACTACTAAATCTACTTCGACTAGTAAGCTTCAGTATGAGTTTAATTACCCAAGCTTGAGGTTCCTTGGATCCATATTTTGGTGAGGATCTGGATACGCCTTCGTAAGGTTAAGTCGGAACTCCAGGTAGGATCAAACTACTCAACCAGTATCAGCCCAGCCTCAGTATGCCGCACACGGAGCTGTTGCCTATGACGTCAGGTGACGAGACGACCGGTGAGAGGCCACAAAACCTCGGGTTACGCAGGACTTCACTGGAACTGGTTCTGACGAACACGCGTGCGACACACGATGGGCATTGTTTACACTGCACGTGTAATGCCAAAACACTCGACAGACGCTGATCCTCATGCTCTTCTTGAAACCGCAAATCGCATAAAATTTCATGTGGTCGCTCTGCAGGAAACAAGAATCAGGAAAAGCGACATAGGCCAATTAAACAACGGGACCCTCTTGATTCGCTGAGAAATGGTGCCGTTACGAAATGTCGGCGACGTAGGCTTTGCCGTCCATCTTGTCAACTTGTACAAGGTCCTCTCCTCGCATGGTCGTCCTCTGTCTTCGAGTGACGCGTCATAGGAAGAGCATAATCATGAAGAATTGCTACTCATCGACCGACGGACCCAATGAGCACGAATTGGATGCTTTCTACTATTATTGGAGGAAGTTATCCGCAATGATAAAGTGTATTATAAATTTCTTGTTGGAGACTTCAGCACAAGATGTGAAAGGCCAGCTAGAGCAAATATATGTTCGGAAGTTTTGGATTAGGAGGAAGAAATGAGAATGGGGATCGTCCCGCAGGACTCCTGTCAGCAACACGTCTCTTCCATGTGAACTCGTTTTTTAGAAGAAGGAAAGCCGCCGCTGGAGATGGGAGTCTCCCAACGGCATGTCTCATGCTGAGATCGACCATATTCTGAGAGACAGAAGATGGTGCCTACTTGACACATCAGTAGCTTCGTCATTCTGTACTGGTTCTGATCACCGCCTTCTTCGCGCGAAGATTCGACTCAGCCGCAAGCTAGAAAAGAACTCTCTTCATCGACCACGAGAGAAAAGTCGAACTGTATACGACGAGAGCATTCTGAGTGAAGTTCTGTCCAAACGTGATTGATAGATTAGGGAAAACCCGACCAAAGACTACGAATCGCTTATCGAAGGTCTGAAAAGCTGTGCCGAATTTGCCTCAGTTCGCCAAGCAAGAAGATTGGATCGCATTCCTATGACCAGTAAGTAGTTCTTGATCCTACTGCAACACATTTAACGCGGCTAGTAGTAAATGCAGCTGCAGAAGAACTTTGCAGGAAAATCTACATCAATACAGACAGAAGGAACTATTGGAAGCGGCAAAGAAAAGAAACAGTCTGAAAAAATGTCGTTGAGACTTGTGTGACTACAATGTTCCGCTGTCAACGCTAATGAACGAAGATCGGATTGTCAAAAGTTCCTGCCATGATGTGGAATTGATAACGGAAACGTTCTACACCAATCTTTTCCGTTCCACAATCCCCGTCCCAGACCGTAGTATCTCCGCTGGAGAAAAACCACCTGGAATTCTTCTAATGGAGCTCCTTGTTGCGATAGAAAGCGTGAAAAGAGGAACCTCTCCAGGATCCGATAATATCACCGCCGATTTACGTAGAGCTAGAAGTCACAATTTACATGTACTCCTCGCAAACCGTATGACAGCCTATCTTCAAAAGGAAAAATCCCAGGTCAATGGAGGACGTCACGCACGGCGACACAATATCCCGAAAGCTGTTTAGTGCCGCATTACAGTGGATAATGGAGTCACTGGTTTGGGATGAGAACGGCTTATGTATTTATGGAAAATTCATAGCAAACTTTCGTTTCGCAGGGGAAATCGTCATCTTCTCAAGAGGTATCAGCTAAGCAGGGACGCTGATTCATCGAAGCAGGAAGAAAGATGGGACTACATATAAATCTGA